AGAAGCTGCTGAACGTGGTGGAGTAGGGGTCCTGGAGAAAGCGCTACGGATAGAGCCGAAAGGACGGTCACACCCACCCCTTCCAGTATCATCCCTCCCCACCCACATCACACCACTCCTGGTGCCAGGGACACTCACAGACACTACGTTGGAGCTGTCCTGGTCAAAGAGCTGCAGGTGGTGGAAGGAGTTGGAGAGGGCAGAGGAGTCATGGGGGAAGACAAGGTAGAGGCGGGAGTCCTGTGGGGAGCTGGGAGGCGGGAGGTTAGGCACAGGTGATGCACAGGTGGAGGGCCTGGTGTCCCCGGCTGTCCAGGCCCACCCTGCATTTGTTCCATCCACCCTGGGGTATCCCTCAGCTGGGGCATGCTGATGCAGGGGGAGGCCTCAGACCTGAGCTGGACCATGGGGGCAGGCACAAGACAGAGCGCTGGCCAATGAGGATCTTCCACCTCCTGGGCCATGGCAACTGATTCAGGGACGAGCCAATGAAAGGCAGCCCTGGGATCTCGCTGGAATATGGGGAAAGAGACACTTTCTATCCACCGAGGTTGCTAAGCCAGGGTTGCTGGGGGTCCCAGAGAATGATAGGAACTCAGAGGATAGAAGAGCAACTCTTTCTAACATTTTGGGACCCAGGTCCTTCCTGAAATTAATACTACCCTTTGACTTCCCAGTTATACGCACCAATCAATTCCTTTTCTTTTCCTTTAACTCATTTTGAGCTACATTTCTTTCACAGCCCTGAGGGGTCAGGCTAGAGAGGGACAGGGCCTGGTCAAAGGCTCACCTGGCCAACAGCAGGTAGCGGCTGAGAACGCGGAGCAGGGCACGGGTGCCCCCACGGTGGAAGTGCAGGGCGGGCAGGGAGCCTCCAGCTTGTGTCACCAGGACCAGGTAGGCCCAGCTGAGGCCTGGCTTGGAACGGCGGATGGACTTGAGTTCCCCCAGACTCACTGAGAATGCCCAGGAGCCTTGAGGAGAGTGGGGCTCTGCACCTAGAGGGATAGTGCTGTGTTAGGAGCAGGTGTGGGAGGCCAGAGGTAGCCATGTCAATACAGGATGTTTGTGCAGTACATTTGTCTCTTGAGGGCCCCACGATGAGCCACCACCAGACCCTGGCCTCTGGGAACTCTGGGTCACCTCACATTTCCTTGGAAGCACAACTGGATAAAATAGGAAGAAAGGCTGATGGACATGTGCTTGTTCCAAAAACTTTCCAGGCTCCCCATGACCTGCAGGGTAAAGACTATATTCCTCCACCTGGCACTCAAGGCCCTCAGGTCTGTCCCTGGCCCCATCTGCCTCACCTCCAACCCCCTCTTTGCTCCAGACCCCACACTTGAGCTACAATGAAAGGCTGGTGGCTCCCAAAACACATCCAGTGCCACACGCCTCTGGCCTTACACGGGCTGCTGTCTGCCAGGAGAGAAAATTCTCAAGAGTCCTTCAGAGCCCAGCTCTGGCATCGCCTTTTCCTAGAAGGTATCTCCACTCCCCAGAAAGGTCAGATGACTTCTGGTGCTCCCAGCAACCTGTGTGACTCCAGGACGGCACAAATCGCCCCCTAACTGGCTGCATCTGTCATAGGACCAGCCTTAAACCTTCAGAGGCAAGAGTCATGTGTGGGTGTCCATAGCCAATCTGGGAGCCCAGTGAGATGGGCGAGGATGCAAACCCAGAGACGCTGGCCATGTTGGACCTGGGCTACAACACTCCTGTACCCCCATCCACCTCCACTCTCTTGGGACTGAACATGGAGCCAGGTGGCCATCTTGACTGTGGGCAGCAAAACCCTTGGAGCCATGACCACTCAAGGCAAGATGTGTGCCACCTGCCCCACGAGGGGCACCAGTTCAGACTACCTCTCGTGGGTTCTGAGTGGCGGGGCTGTGGCCTCACTGTGCTGATGACGGCCCAGTCAGGTTCATAGCCAGGGTCAAAGGTTGGTTCCTCCTCAGAGGTGCAGGAGTCACCCCCACTGGAGTCCTTGAGGGAAAAAAGGAGAAGAGAATGAGGGACTATGGATACACAGTTTCCAGATCTGAGCCTCAAGGCCACCAAGGAAGGTAGCCGTCTTGAAGAAATAGAGAAACAGAGGCACAAAGAAGATACAGCACTTGTTCAGGGTTACCCAGCACACCCAGGGAGTGAGCCAGGGCCCGGACCCAAGTCTCCTGATGCCTGGAGAGGCAAATGCTACACAGCTGTGCAGGCAGGCTGCCAGAGGTCACAGTGCCTAAAATAGGTTGTCAGTATTCACTAGGGAAGTACAAATCAAAACCATGATATTACTTCACATATACTAGGATGGCTAGAATCAAAAAGACTGACATAGCAGTGCCCCCTAATCCTTGGGGGATATGTTCTAAGACTCTCAGGGGATACCTGAAACTGTGGATAGGATGGAACCCCATGTATATTAGGTTTTCTCCTATACGTACCTATCTATGACAAAGTTTAATTTATAAACTAGAAACAGTAAGAGATTAACAACAATAATTAGTAATAAGACAATAATATAAAAAAATGCAAACATCACTATTCTTGTGTTTTGGTGCCATCATTAAGTAAAATAAAGGTTACTTAAATCTAAGTACTGCAATACCACCACAATCGATCTGATAATCGAGTTGACATTTTTTTTTTTTAAAAGATGACTGGTAAGGGGATCTGAACCCTTGACTTGGTATTGTCAGCACCACGCTCACCCAGTGAGCTAACCAGCCATCCCTATATAGGGATCCAAACCTGTGGCCTTGGTGTTATCTGCACCGCAGTCTCCCAAGTGAGCCACGGGCTGGCCCTAATCGAGTTGACTTCTAAGTGACTGATGGACAGGGAGTATAAACAGTGCGTGGATCTGAACACATGAGTGACTCACGTCCCGGGCAGGACAAAGTGGGAGAGTGCAAGACTTCATCACACTACTTAGAACAGCACGTGATTTAATGCTTATGAATTGCTTATTTCTGGAATTTTCCATTTAATATTTTTGGACCGAGTTTGACCACACGTAACTGAAACCATGGAAAGCAAAACTGTGGATAAGGAGGCACTACTGTAATAATGTTGGCAAGACTATAGAGAAACCGGAAGCTTCACATACTGCTGGTGGGAATGTAAAATGGTGCCACCATTTTGGAAAAGTCTGGCCGTTCCTCAAAAGGTTAAACGAAGCATTACCATAACGACCCAGCAATTCCACTCCTAAGTATATGCCCAAGAGAAATGAATACATATGTCCACACAAAGACTCATACACAAATGTTCGTAGCATCATTACTCAGACTAGCCAAAAGGTGGAAACAAACCAAACGCCCATCGAACTGATGAATAAACAAAACGTGGCACATCCATACAATGGAACACTATTCCGCCTTTAAAACGAACAAAGCACTGATAACATGCTACAACATGGATGAACCTTAAAAACATCTTAAGAGAAGCCACATACAAAAGACTACATGTTGTATGATTCCACTTATATGAAATGTCCTGACAAGCCAAATCCAGAGACGGAAGCCGATTCTCATGGTCCCTGCTCTCTTTCCTTGAATGGGCATCTTCAGCCAGTTTCACAGAGAGTAGGAAACCACCCGGTTCCCAAACAGGGTCATACATGTCCCAACGGTAGGTCTGAAATTGTACTGCTCGGACCTAGAAAAAGTGAGTGAAGGGGGAAGTGAGGGAAGCCTACCTTCTTGGAGAAGAAGATTTGAGTGGAATCTCCAGCCTCCTCAACAGGAGCCCAGTGCAGGAGGACGTCACTGTCCTAAGGAAGAGGGGAGGAGTTAGAGTGGCTCCCCCCCAAAAAACTCCCCAAGCAACAAATTTCCAAACTTTTTTTCCCCAGTCTCCATCCTCAGCCTTTCAAAGATCCATTCCTTATTCCCGTTCCCACCCCCAGCCTTCCTGAGGTTCCACTGCTGACCTCCACCCCGCTCGGAGCCTGCCCAAGCCCTGCTCCCACCGAGCCCACCTTTTCCACAACACGGATGACACCAGCGATGAGGGAGTCCGGGTCCTGGTGCTTCTTAGCACTGGTATGCAAGTACACGCCTCCCTTCTCAAACACCACCTGGGGCGGGAAGCAGTGAGGGGCGGGGCTTGGGAGGTAGCCAATGCGGGTGGACCCGAGCGGGAGGATTCGTAGGGGGCGCGGCATGAAGGACCCCTGCGGAGGTATCCGTATTTTGCCCTGCGTTCGGGTGTGGACGTCCCTTCCAAAAGAGGCGGGGCCCAGAGAGACCTTAAGCCCGGGGGCGGGGCTAAAAGATATGGTCTCTCCCTATGTGATGGAAGGGAAGGTAACAGCGCGTTTATAAGGAAACGGTGTTTGCTAAAGGTCTGCCAGGCTCCCAGGGCCCCCGCACGACCTGAGGGAGAAGCAGACCACCAGACGGGGGCTGTTCGCACAGACAGAAGCCAGGGATTGCGTCCTCAGTGCTTACCCTGCAGTTGGCTCCCTCCATAGCCGCCGCCGAGGCTCCACTGCCCGGGCCTCCTTTTCCGGGTCAACGTGGGTCACATCCGGAAAGGGCACTCCCCCCCAAAGCCGGACAGTGGTAGCGCCTCTACCCGTTCTAGAGCCGGAGTGGGTGAAACTATCTTTCAAAATGGGGGAATTGCACTACGAGGGTTAAAGTCACGTGGCGCTGACGCTAAGACAGGCCAGAATGAGCAGAAGGGGCATGACAACTTTCACCACGAAGTAAACAAGTGGGAGGGTGCAAGAGCTCCACCTCCTGGCTCAAGCCGAAACCCTCACTTCCTTCTCCATATTGTATACTGGCATCGAAGCCAAGGAGGTGCCATTTTGCTCTAGGGCACAGCCTAAGCATGTGGGCTGAGGCCATGTTAATGCGGGGCAGTCCCATCTCTCTGCGGGGCGCGACAGTGAGGTGCTGGAAAAGAAGCACAAAGGAAAAGGTGAGAGGAGCTATACGTCACAAGAAGACTGAGGGACTCGGGATAACGGGATGAAGCTCTCAGTGCTCCTGGGGACGAAGCAGTCAGAGGACTTTCTGAGTCACCGTCGAAAGAGGGCCGAGCCGCCATTTTGAAGCTGGGCAAAACGAAGCAAGAAATGCTGCCATATTGGATGTTGCCAGCATTGGTGCTGGGGCGGTGGGGGGTTAGGTTGGAGGAAGAGAGAACCCTTATTTATTATGGGCAGATGAAGCCAGGCCGCTGCCATGTCGTTAATGGTCACCACTTTGCTCGATCTCTGTTGAAGAAGTTGATTATGGGCGAGGGACGTTGGGTCGCTTGCCTTAGTATACTATGGTTATGAGTGAGCATATGCGGAGGGCCACATTACTTGGGGTCAGATCGAAATGGTCTAGGCTTGTTGCGCAAACTGAAGCCTTTCTTTCGCCATCTTTCTTACGATCACTCTGCTGTCGCCGTTCCCCACTGATCCTGATGAAGCCCCTGTGGCTGCCATTTTGGTCTCCGGAGGCCCAGATGAGGGAGGGGTAGCTACGCGGAAGTGACGCAAGACACCGCCATGTCCTTTGAGGGCGGCGACGGCGCTGGACCGGCCATGCTGGCTACGGGCACGTGAGTGGAGGCGGTGTTGTGAACCGCGGTGTGGGGAGGATTTGGCCGTCCTGAGAAAGAGGGGCGCTGGGGGGACCAGGTGCTCACAGGAGGGGTATGACCTGCATAGATCAGAGGGCAGAGACTGTTCAACGATACTTTCTGAGTGCTGGGAAGGGGCCGCCCGCGGGAACCGTTGTGTCTGACCCGAGGCAAATCCTAGACAGCCTTACCTTCCAGTGTCCAGACCTATAGGGATTATTCTCTTAGCCGTGGACCATGTCCATGGGGTCGGAGAGTTGCTCGGGGGGCCGCGGGGCTCCCCTCACCCGTCCAGAGGCGGGACTTCCGGTCCTGGCCCCAGCTGGGCGGGATTTCCTGTTTTCTTCCTGGCGAACTGGGCCTTCCCCGGACCCCTGAGCGTGCTGGGGAGGTGGGGAGGTCTCTGAGTGGCCGGGCGAGGCCGCAGACATTCACTCCGCCCCTGGCCGTGCGTGCATGCTCGGGTTCCTCACACTTTCGGGTGAGGGGCACGTCCAGCTTGACAGGCGGTGGTGGTGGTGAGACTTCACTAGCATCCCTCGTTCTGTGGGGACCTTATTCCTCTTTCCTCACCTTTTCCTGGAGTCAGTTTCTTCACCCCACCCCCTCTCCTTACTTTTCATTCCTCCTCACCTTATTCTAAGAGACCAGTCACCTTACTGCTCCCCTCCTGTGGGGGACACGTCTCACCCCCTTCTCAGCTCTCCCTAATCTTTTTTTTTTTTTTTTTTTTTTTGCGGGGGCTGAGGGTGCAGCTGGCCGGTGAGGGGACCCAAACCCTTAACCTTGCTGTTATAAGGCTGCGCTCTAACCAACTGAGCTAACCGGCCAGCCTTCTCCCTAATCTTACACTTCTCCCTTGGGGCAGGGATTTTCCTCTATCTCTCACTCAGCTCCTTGGAGGAGGAGGCCTTCCTCCAGAAGCTGAAGAGTAGGTGGATTCCCCAGGTCTTGTCTACTCTCCTGTTGGTTATAGACTCTAGGGAGCCCCCAGACCTTGGCAGAGGTCTGTGTAAGTTGCTGTTCTTTTTGCCTGTGCCTACTCTCTGAGGTAGGGGGACCTTCGCAACCTACTCACCCCCATTTCATTCTTTTTAACCCTGTGGGGACCCCAAGATCTAGTACGGAGAGGGAAGCTCGTTCCCCCTATACCCTCCATGTCATTAGGGCCTAGGGACCCAAGGAATTGAGAGCTGCAGGCCTAGCACTGCCAGGCAGTGTGTCCTTGAATCAGTCAATTCCCTGCTCTGAACCTCGGTTTCCTCCGTCAGATGAGGACATGAAGAGTATGTATAAGACAGGGTACCTCCCAGCTTTGTGGGGCTTTGGAGCTGGGCAGACAGCAGTTTCAGCCCTGTCTAGCTATGTGTCTTCTGGCCAGTGAGTTAAGCTCTCTGAGCCTCACTTTCCCCACCTGGATTAGAAAAGTATAAATCCTAGGGCCGACCCCGTGGCGCACTCGGGAGAGTGCAGCGCTTGGGTGCACAACGGCGCTCCCGACTGCAGGTTCGGATCCTATATAGGGATGGCCGGTGGCACCGCTCACTGGCTGAGCGCGGTGCTGACAACACCAAGCCAAGGGTTGCGATCCCCTTACCGGTCACAAAAAAGACAAAAAAAAAAAGAAAGAAAAGTATAAATCTTTTCTCATAAAAAAAAAAAAAAAAAAAAAAAAAGAAAAAAACTTTTTTCAAAAAAAAAAAAAAAATAAAAAAAAGATAAATCTTTTCTCATAAGGCAGGCAGAATGGCAGTCAGGATTAAGAACAGACTGTGGATCCAGACAGTCAGAGTCTAGATTCCAGCTCTTACTGGCTGTGTGACCCTGGTCAGGATGCTGAATCTCCCTGGGCCTGAGTTTGCAATTGTAAAATGGGGTGGTAACAGCTTCTCCCTCATAGGGTAGGTGAGAGGGTAGTATGAAAAGGTCCTGCCTCGGGTCCCTGCCTGGCATGTGGATAAGCTTTGTCCTTCCAACAGGGCTTCGTACTCCCCAAGTCCGGGTTGTTAGTCAACAGCTCCCACCTTGGTGAGTCAGGTAGGTGAGTCAGGTATCCCTGCAGGGAGCAGGTGCTCAGCAAACTGGCTTCTATGATCCAGAGTCACAAAGGGCCTGCATATTGAATTTAAGCTCTAGACTCCCTGCTCCCATTCACTACAACCCTGGTGGGCTGGGCCATAACTCTGCTTAAATCCCTCCAGTAATGGTGTGCTCACTATCTCCCTGAGGAGGCACCTCAGCTGCCCAACTGCGCCAACTCAACCACTGTGGTTAATGGGAAAGAAAGTGAGGCACAGAGAGTGCCAGTGTGTAGTCCAAAGTCACACAGCAGGTTTGAGGCGTAGTCAGGACAGGAAGCCAGCCCCACATCTCTTGCTCTTCTCAGCTCATAAGATTTATCTAGCAGATTGCTTAGGGCAGACCTGTCCTGGGGACTCAGATCCCTGACCTTGGGGAGTTCACAGTCTGATGGAGGAGGCAGATAGACGTACAGCTGTCACAAGCTTGGGTGACATGAGCTATAATGGGGAGAGCCCAGGGCATGTGGAGACTATCAGTGAAGACATCTGATCCATCCTGGGGATCAAGGAAGACTTTCAAAGGAACTGCCAGGAGAGAGTCCTGTAGGAAGTACAAAAGCTTTGTGGTGGATTTCCAGGCACAGAGAGCAGTTCCAACACCATTTTTGGCCTTTGTTCAACCCCCAGTCTCAGGCCTCTCAGTCATAGAACCAAACAGTATTCTCCAGAGGGAAATGTACTATAATAGGGATCGCTCAGACATTGTGGGAGCCCAAAGTAGGAGACTGGCTCAATCTTGGGGCAAAGGAAAGTTTTTCTACATTAGGATGAGTGAAAGATCGGCAGTGAATGGAGAATGAGTAACCACCTTGTCTGAAGGCCTTGGTCCTCAGAGGGTCTGGAAGGCTAGGCAGGTGATAGATACTGCCTGTGAGGCCAGGGGCAGTGCCAGACCACACAGGGCCTCCAAAGCCAGGCTGAAGGGCTGGGACCTTGTCCGGGGGACTCTGGCAAGGAATAGGGTCGGCGCTAGTTATAGAGGGACCTCTCTGGGCCTTGTGCTGGAAGGACTGGAGTTTGGGAGGCGGGGAGGGAGGCCAGGGTGATGGAGCAGGGCAGCACCATCCAATGAAAACATAAATGCAAGCCACGCATGTAGTTTGAAATTTTCTACAAGCCGTGTTAAAAGAGTAAAAAGAAAACTGATAAAATTCATTTTAGCCATATGTTTTATTTAGCCAGTATATCTAAAATGTGATCATTTCAATATGGACTCAATATCAGATGGTTACTGAGCTATTTTACTTTCTACTTTTTTGTACCATGTCTTCAAACCCGGTGTGGGTTTTGCACTCACAGCACCTCTCTGCTTGGACCTGCCATGTTCGAGTACTCTTTACTTGCATGTGGCTGGTGGCTCCTACATGGGACAGGACAGAGCCAAGAGTAGAGACCAAGCTGAGAAAGGACGGTGTAAACACTAGGGGCAGGAGGGCTAGGCCAGTGGAGATGGATGGTGAGGAATCCCCCAGGAGTAGCGGGTTTGGAGAAGACACTGAGGTCACCTGGGACTAGGTGGGTGGGAGGGCGTGAGTGGCATCCAGTGGACAGGTGAACACGTGGGGCTGGGTGGGAATGGTGCAGTCCTGCCAAGCCTCATCCCCTTCCGTCTTGCTTTGTCCCACAGGGCGTGGATGGCGTCGGGGCGCCCTGAGGAGCTGTGGGAGGCCGTGGTGGGGGCCGCTGAGCGCTTCCGGGCCCAGACGGGCACGGAGCTGGTGCTGCTGACTGCTGCCCCACCACCGCCACCCCGTCCGGGCCCCTGTGCTTATGCAGCCCACGGCCGGGGGGCCCTGGCAGAGGCTGCCCGCCGCTGCCTTCATGACATCGCCCTGGCCCACAGGGCTGCCGCTGCTGCCCGGCCCCCAGTGGTCCCCCCAGCACCACAGCCACCCAGTCCCGCACCGAGCCCACCCCGGCCTACCCTGGCCAGGGAGGATGATGAGGAAGATGAGGATGAGCCAACAGAGACAGAGACCTCTGTGGATCGGCTGGGCATCAGCGATAATGGAGGTGAGAGGAGCAGAGGGCAAGGGCTTGTGGCTTGGCAAGTTACCCACAGTAGTTTTCTGGTAGGTGGCACGTGCTGATCTCTGAGCCTTGATGTTCCTTGAAAGTTGTGGTTTCAAGGGCCTGGCAGCCAGACACACTTACCCATAATCTACTGTTACTTTAAGCCAGACATTTCCCCTCTCTGAGCCTTACCCTGGCTTCCTTGTACTCATGACCTGGGGCCAGCTCTGTGCTGAGAGACACAAAGCAGCTCGGGCTCTTTTATCGAGGGGCTTCCCATCTGGCCAAGGAATTGGATCCTGACATGGGTATACCCTATAGAGGCCATCGGGGCCAGGGTGTCTCCTGAGGTTGGATGCTTCCCAGAGAATGGGCTGTAACACTAGGGCTTAAGGAGTTAAGGAGTGAGTAGGAGTTTGCTGGGGGCTTAGTAAATAGGAGTTACTCATTTATTGTTATTACCAATGGCTGGCCTTGTCACCATTGCTGGAGAAAACCTGCATGGGATGCAAAGTACAGACTCTGGAGCCAGATGTCCGGGGTTCAAATTCTGGTGATGCCACTTACTATCTGTGGGACCTCAGGCAAGTGACTTAACCTCTCTGGGCCTCCATCTCCATTTGTCAAAAAGGATCATAAACACCCCATATTTCTCTCAGCCTGTATGTTGAGTCATATCAGATAGATCTCATCCCAAACAGATCTTAGATGTTTCACATTAGTGCAGCCAGTTGTTCATATCTGAGGGTGTAACAAATAAGACAGACACTAGATTTGTTTCTGCCAATGACGAGCAGATAAACAGGGCAGAGTGTTTGAGGCAGAGGGAATAGTAATCACAGACACCCCAGGAGGCAGTGGCAGTGGCTGGAGGAGAGGGCCCATGGAGTGTGGCAGGGACCTGACTGACTCAGGGCCTCTGACATCACCCACAGGGCTCTTTGTGATGGATGAGGATGCCACCCTCCAGGACCTGCCCCCCTTCTGTGAGTCAGACCCTGAGAGCACAGACGGTGAGTGTCCCAGGCTGTCCCCTTCCCTGGGGGGCTGGGACAAGGGCAGGGACAGAGGCTGAAGTCCACCCTCCCTCCCAGATGGCAGCCTGAGTGAGGAGACCCCTGCTGGCCCCCCAGCCTACTCAGTGCCCCCAGCCTCAGCCCTGCCCACGCAGCAGTACGCCAAGTCCCTGCCCGTGTCTGTGCCTGTCTGGGCCTTCAAGGAGAAGAGGACAGAGGCTCGATCATCAGACGAGGAAAATGGGCCGGTGAGGGGCAAATGAGGGGAGGGGAGTATTTTGGCCCTCCAGATGGGGAAACTGAGGCTTGGAGGGGTCAGATCACCCCCATCCCCACCCCACACATTCCTAGCCCCTCATCTTCTGTTCCTCCCACACTGTCCCATGTGTGGACGTCATGGGCTGGCCTGGCCTAGGGGGGTCCTTGTCGCCCATCACAACACATCACAATGAAACTCTCTGAAGCTGAAGGGAAATTGAAGCACTGAGATGACTTCCTGGAGGTCTGGGATTGGAACCCAGCTTCCTTTCAGGAAGGAGCTGTGGGCTATGATGGAGGAGGCCTGCGGGCCCATAGTCCTCAAATGCCTCAGTGTCCTTATTTGCAAACTGGAAATCAAAACAGTGACAGCCACCCCCACCCAAGCCCCAACTCCCCTAGGCTGTAGGAGGGCCCAGTGAGGCAGTGAAAGCTGAAGTCCAAGAACAGTGCCTGGTCCAGGAAGGGGGCATCAGCTGCTGCTGTCCTTGCTTGAGACTCATGAAAACACAACTAATTGAACGTTCGGGGGCTCCTGAGTGCTGGCCCTGGGCTGATCTCCTAAAGGGCTCAGGGCAGCTACTGCTGGTCGTGGCCTCTCCCATTCTATTGGGGGAGGGCAGGCCCAGCTCAGGAAGACAGGGACTGTAATGGAGGCAGCACTAGGTGCCAAAGCTGCAGGCAGAATGGCAGGACAATTCCCTGGTGGGGGCCAATCTGGGGATGGAACCTTTCTGTACAGCGGTGGCCACCTGACGGTAGTTGACCTTTCTTAAGAAGTCACTGAGCTAATGATCTCAGCCCTCACAGGGACCCTGTTTTGCAGAGGGAAAGATCGAGTACTAGGGAGGCGAAATCTTTTGTTCACAGCTAGCTAGTCGGTGGCAGAGGTCTGATTGGAACATGACCGAATCCCCGGGCCAAATCCTCAGACATGAGACCCTCTGGGTGCATACAGCCTTAATAGCGGACAAGCAGCACTGGGACAGTCCGGGACAAGAAGGGGAGGAGAAGAGGGACAGGAAGGCTTCTTCGAGGAGGTGGTGTCTGAGTCGGTTAGAAGGGCCCCTTCGCGGAGCAAGACAGGTTGAAGGGCATTGCTGGCACTGGGCATCGCAGGGCACAAGTGGGGGTGGGGGGAACGTTCTGGGAGGGGCCTGGAGCCCAGGGTGCAGGCGCTGCAGGTGGGTGCGGCGGGGGTCCCTGCCGGCGCCAACCCCGCACCGCCGTGGTCTCCGCAGCCCTCCTCGCCCGACCTGGACCGCATCGCAGCGAGCATGCGCGCGCTGGTGCTGCGGGAGGCGGAGGACACCCAGGTGTTCGGGGACCTGCCGCGGCCTAGGCTCAACACCAGCGACTTCCAGAAGCTGAAACGGAAATACTGAGGCTCAGGGAGCGAGTTTGCAGGCCCTGGGTCCTCCCAGCACCACACTACACCACCGTCCCTCCCCCGAGGCCCGCCCATCCGAATCAGAGCCGGGACCGCCTCCCCCTCCCACCCCGTCCCGTCGCGTCCCTCGGGGCCCCCAGGATTTACCAGCCCTGCCAATTCCCGCCGCCCTCCCAACCCACGGCCTTCTGCGCGGAGCAGCGGGATCTGTCCGGCCCTCCGATTGGTCCGTTGCCCCTTTGTCCAGCAACAAATCCTTCGTACGACGGGATTGGCTGGCTCCCCGGTGGGGCGTGGCTAGCCCTGGTCCCTAAGTGGGCCAGCTCTGTCGTTCTCCTCCCGGCGACGCGGGCTTGGCTCGGGAGGCACTGGCTCCGTCCCGGAAGAGCACAGGCAAGTCCCTGGCTTGGGTGGCGGTGCGCCCTCGGTGGGCGGCTCCTTCGTCTGACTGGCTGAAGCCTGTAAAGGGCCTGACTGACCGGCGTCCTCCCTTCCTTCCTTTTCCCACCATATTGGCTCCCGCCCCCCGGGGGCGTGGCCAAGCCGTCCCTTGCCCAGAATTGGCCTGCGGCCTTCAATTGACGTTCTTTACACTACTGGGGCTGGGGTCGTTTTTGCCCAAGTCTTGAAAACTTGTCCCCCTGACCCCCTCAGGGATGGCCCAGTTCGGTCCCTGCCTCCGACACCCCGTCGTTGGTTCAATCCCACAACAGCCTGCCAATGGAAACCCGTCCCTGCGTCCGGGACGGCACCAGCTCCCGCTTCTCGTCCCCCTCCCCGTCCCCACAGGTGCCTTAAAGGGCCCTCGTCCACCCAAGGTGGGGGACAGAGGTCCTCACTCTCCGGCCCTGGTGTGGGGGAGAGTGTGGGGGTTGGGGATCGGGAGTTGGGGCGCTCTGAGATTAAAGAGTTTTACCTCTGACAAATGAGTGCGAGGTGTGTTGTGTTCAACATTTTCTGAAGCTGAGTGAGGAACGTTTCATTGATACCCAGTGCAAAGCTGAGAGTTGGACTTATTGTCCCCATTTTATAGATAAGAAAACGGAGATCTACGGGGTGGGGAAGAGCATTCCAGTCATGTGTGACCGCGGAACCCCAATCTTTAGGAGGATGAGTGCTGGAGCCAGAATAGTTCGTGAGGAATCAGTCCCCGGAGCCCACATGTTCCCCAACAAAACCTGAACCTCCAGCCCGGGAGGTTCCTACCATAACAAGACGCTGGAGGTTAGAGAGTAGGTGGAACCTGGTCGTAATTTAGGACTAAGTAAACATGGACCCTCCATCTCCCATTAGACCACCACTGGAAGAATGCTAGCAAGACAGGACAGGGCTTACTGCCACTCAAACACGTTTGTAGGCTGTTTACATGTATTAGCTCCTTTACTCTCCTTGGTAAACCCAGGAAGTAAAAACGAATATCCCCACGTTATAGGTGAGAAAAATGCAGCATCAAAGGTAAATCAAAAGAACCGTCTAGTATTAAGGCTGCTGTCGGGGGCGGGGGTTTCTTCAACTGACAGTGATCATCTAATGGGAAAGAAAGCTTCCTACAGCTGTGACTATCTCCAGCAAAGGGGATGAGAATTAGAGGTCAAAGTGGAAGGAGGAAAATATGTGAATGGAGGGTCTACTCCCCCTGCTGGCCGGGGCCTCCCGTTACAGCAAGAGCGATGAAGGTCACAGCTGCAGAGGGGCCCTAAGGCCGAGAGGCCTGGGAGGGGGTGGGGCTACTGCCACGGGAGGAGCCCAGGCCCGGCCCCCGCTGGGGGACGAATCATTTCCGTCCGTCGAGGAACTGGAAGCCGCCGGCCCAGCGGCGGGCAGAGCGCCTCGGGCAGGGCCTCCTTAGTCGGAAGTGGCGCCTGAGCCCCAGCGGCGGGCCCGGGTGAGAGCAGAGACGGGGCGGGGCATACGCCAGCCTCTCGGCCTGTGCCCTGGGAAGTAGGAATCCCAGCTCGCCGAGGGACTGAGCCGGCGTCGTCGCCTGGGAAACGGCGCCACAGGCCGGCGAGGGGGTGGAGTTTCCGGAGCCGGTGGCGGATGAAGGGAACTCCCGGTGGCGGGTGTGGGAGGAGGCGGGACTTGCCACTCAGACTCGTTTACCTGCTTCCACCTAGGCCGGCGTCCAGAATGGCGGAGGTGGGGGCCCAGGGCCGCCTGTGGTTGGAGAGCCCCTCTGGGGGGGCGCCCCCTATCTTCCTGCCTTCGGACCGGCAAGCCCTGGTGCTGGGCCGGGGACCCCTGACCCAAGTCACGGACAGGAAGTGCTCCAGAAACCAAGGTGGCTGGGGGCGGGTTCTGAGCTGGGGGGGACGGGGCTTGCTTCAGGACGGAAACACAGCCCATCGGAAAGGGGGACAGTTAATCCCGTCATGGAGATGCTTGGTTATTGCGTGGTGCAGCCAGGCCCGAAGTTGGCAGGATCCTCTGGGGAGCACAGGAAAGGAAAGGTTGTGCCTGACCTGGAACTAGCCAGACCCCTTGGGGGAGAGAGGATGTAACCAATCCCGGGAGAGTTGTCACTGGGCAGAGAAGGATGCTCATAGGCCATTGTGAAAGCCTGAAACAGGTTACGACCCTTGTCAAGCAGAGCCGATTCTATGGAGAAAAGTAAATGTCGCTAGGTGGGGATGGACGGTTGCCGGCCAAGCCCAGAACTTACGTCTAACCACACTTTTAGTCAAGGAGGAAGCCAATTCCATAAAGTATCCGCCCTGTCCTTAGGCAACCATCAGTGTCACAGGCAATTCTAGGGCCTCCATCTGGCTACTGCAGTCAGGAGCCAGTTCCACTTAGAGATAAACTGCCTCCTGCTTCCTCTTGAATGGATGCTGTAGTCCTATATCTGTGGCCTAATGCTGGCCACGCTCCCCAGTAATGAGGGAACCAGTCATACAAGGATGTAAATCCTGACTCCATCCTCTCAACCCTCAGTGGAGCTGGTGGCAGACCTTGGGACCCGAACAGTGGCAGTGAAACAGGTACCAGTGCTTCTGCAAAGGGCAGCAAGGCAGGGTGGGAAGGTGTCAGCAGTGCACAAGCCCATTGGAAAAATCTGATTGTCTGGGAGAGAAGGTGGTGTGGCCAGTAAAGAAAGAAGTGTTGCCTGCTTCCCCCTGGGGTATCCATCCATCCACTTTCAAACTGGACAAGACTGAAAGCATGTAACTTTTCCAAAGCCCTGACTGGTGGTACCCAGTAAAGATGTGGGGCTTAGGGGTCTGACTGGTGGGTGAAGCAAGTCCTTTGCCAGGGTATTTAATTGGAGGAGGTTCCTGCTGGGAGCAGAGCCAGTCCCAGCTCCTCCCTCTTCTTCTGCAGCTGGGAGTTAACCCCTCAACTGCCGGTACCCAGGAGTTGAAGCCGGGGTTGGAGGGCCCTCTGAGGGTGGGGGACACGCTGTATTTGGTCAATGGCCTCCACCCGCTGACCCTGCGCTGGGAAGAGACCAGCACACCAGAATCCCAGCCAGATACTCCACCTGGCACCCCTCCGGTGGCCCCAGACGAGGAGGGGGATCCGGAGCAGCAGACAAAGCGGATGCGGAAGTCATCCCCCAGCTGGGAGACCTTCGAGAAGTTGCTAGTGTTCACAGCATCTGGGGTGAAACCCCAGGGCAAGGTGAGGGCCAAGCTGAGTGCTGAGCGAGCCTGACACAGACAGGGGACCTAAGTCCAATTTTGCTGTACGCCCCTGGCAAGTTTCTCAACTTCTCTTAGCCTCTATTTACTCTTCTGAAATGGGCCTGATGACAAACTCAGGGTTGTTGTAAACAATAGGGAAAGTGATGTATGTCAGCTCCTGCCTGACCCACAGCAACCACCCAGCAGTCAACAATGACCATGACCACTTCAGCAGGACCTATTGTAACAAGTATTTCTGAGGTCCAGAGAGACTTGAGCTCAAATTTTATTACCACCATGTTGTCTGAGCTCCACTTCTCTCACCTCCAAAATGATGGATCTGGCTGACCAGTTAGCTCAGCTGGTTGTAACACCAAGGTCAAGGGTTCTGTTCCCCATACAGGCCAGTAGCCAAAAAACAAGATGATGAATCCATTAAACCATGTGGCACAATCCCTGACAGTGTAGTTAGCACACAAAGCTTTGCTCCTGTTTATGTTCATGGTTATTAGCCCTCTGAGGTGGAGAAGGCCAGGAGAGGAAGATGGGCAAGATATTAACCCTCATTTGAAAAATTGGAATATGGGGACGGGGGCGTAGGAGCAATAGGAGACAGTAAAGTTAAGATTTCAGGCTCTGCACTCTGAGGTATCTGGGATGCACATTCCTGCTGTGCCATGTCCTTACATAAGACAAGTAAGCTCTCGGTGACTCATTTTCCCCATATGTAAGATAGACCCTGCCTCACGTGTTGGCATGAATCAACCTTTCAGTGAGGAGGACCAGAGGTGTCACAGTGCTGCTGTTCCTCTTTTCTTGGCAATGCCAGGTGGCCGGCTTTGATCTGGATGGGACCCTCATCACCACACGCTCTGGGAAGGTCTTTCCCACTGGCCCCAGTGACTGGAGGTGATAACAGGCCAGAAAAGGGAGTGAGTGAGTCCTGGAGTCCTCCAGGCCTCAGGTCACCCCTGCCACTCTCTACCTGCCCTAGAATCTTGTACCCAGAGATTCCACGTAAGCTTCGGGAGCTGGATGCGGAGGGCTACAAGGTATGTGCGTGTGCATATATGTGCACCTGTGTGTGCAGGCACGGCCAGACTGCAGGTCTGATGGGGCCCTGGAAAGGAGGGCACCTGGTGACACCCATCTGCTCTCCAGCTGGTGATCTTCACCAACCAGATGGGCATTGGGCGAGGGAAGCTGCCAGCAGAGGAGTTCAAGGCCAAAGTGGAGGCTGTGGTGGAGAAACTGGGGGTCTCCTTCCAGGTATGGCTGAAAGGGAGGCTGAGGGGCTATGTGGGAAGGCAGAGATCCAGAGAGAAGGCATAAGAAAGGGACCCTAGTTGGGGTCTGTGTGGGGACAGAGACCCTGGGGCACTGGGCAGCTCTCCTTGGGTTGGTGAGGGTTGGGACAGCATCCATTGGGTGCTTGAGGAGGAGCTGAGGTCAGTGCCTGACCTGCTCCCCGCCCACAGGTGCTGGTAGCCACGCACACAGGCTTGTACCGGAAGCCAGTGACCGGCATGTGGGACCACCTGCAGGAGCGAGTGAGCTGTCCCTTCTCTACCTGGCCTCCCTCCGGGCCGCTCTCCTTTTCCCTTACCCAGACTCCTTCTCACTCTTCCTCTTTCTTCCTCTCCTCTCCCCTCTTGGTCCACACCTTCTGTTTTAATTTTAGCTGTCACATCATAGTTATTGGTACACAAGGCCAGGGCTCTTAAACTCTGAAAATCACAGTGGTCAAGAGAGAAATCACTCATCCATTCATGTGTTCATCTGTTCTGAAGTTCAGCCAGTTCTTGAGCTGAAGATATCACTGAGTTAGACACACGCCTGCTTCAGCGGTGCTCACGTAGCAGTGAGGGCGGCCAACCGAACCTGCGTGGACTGGTGTGGAAAGTGGCAGGAGGGTGCAGCAAGATAAGGCAGCGCGCCATTTTAGCTATGGTGGTCAGGAATGGGCTCTCTGAGCAGGTGACATTTTGGTTTTGGTGTTTTTGGGTTTTTTGTGTGGCTGGCTAGAACAGGGATCCGAACCCGTGACTTTGGGGATAAGGCTGCGCTCTAACCACCTGAGCTAACCGGTCCGCCAAGGTGACATTTGAGCAAAAGTCTAAAGGAGGTGAAGGAGACAGCCATCTGGGTGTCTGGGGGAAGTGGTCCAGGCTGGAGTAAGAGCAAGTGAAATGGCCCTGGGGTAGGACTGAGCCTGGCACGTTTACAGACAGTGAGGAGGCCCACTGGGCTGGACCTGAGTGAGCGAGGAAGGGAAGGTGGGGCCCTGTGGGCCACAGTGAGAA